GAAACTTTGATTTATTGACACCAGCCGATCGACATACGCCTCCCCCCCCTTACGTAAATTTTAAAACGTTCACGCTTTTTTCGCTGCTAGAAGCTTGTATAAGCGATGGGCATTGTTTAGAAGTGGGGAGATTACGAATAGGGGAGAGTGCGGGGGCGTATTTGGGTGAAGCAAGTTTCTAGCTGGAACGGAGGTCGTTAAAGGGCGGGTTGTGTTTGGAGGTTCTGTCTGACGTGGTTTTTTCGGTGAAGTTTTACGATACAGTAGGTTAAAAATTGGTGCGGGTGCCTGTCGGCGGCACTGGATACTCAGAGCTAAAACTCAGAAGAAGTCATGATTGGCGAGGGGGCGGTCGCGGCAAAAAGGAGAGGAGTCGTTTTGTGAGCCTTCTATAACATAGTCTGTGGTAGTTGGGAGATCGCATCGAGAGCTCACCAGGGGGGGGTGGTGCCAATAGTTTGGAAAAGTGGGAATGTGCAGTTGACGGCGCCAGAGCAACAACCTCACATCAAATCGGAGGGATAACAGCGATCGGTAATGAAAATATGAATGCAGAACTGACTGGAAATGAAAAAAAGAAAAAAAAACAAATCACCGATAAGGCTATTAACCAAGTATTCCCTCTCTTCATTGAAGTAAGGAAGACACGGGGCTGGACGAGTTTTTTGAACGTGGCCTCACGGCTCCAATAACCCGCGCGTATTAGAATTAGCCGCTACACATTGGCTACGCAGCTGGTACGCCAGTAACACCCACGTCCAACAAATGGACGTGCCGACCGAAAGGCCGACGACCAAAATTGACACCTATAGATTTTCTAGCGGTTTTCCAAGGTCAGTTTTTGCTTCAGCGACACTTCATATGTCCTCAACTAGGGCTCACGCATCTTTCCATTCCAATGGTAGCCAAAGTATTGATCCATATGTGATTGCGGTTTTAGGAAAAAATTTCAAAGTTCACTTCCTCTCAAAACCAACGTGAAAAGATGTGGATAATAGCGGATTTGGTAACGTTGGCGGCGATTGTGGCTCACTCTTGCTGGAGAGTGCTGCTGAGAAGGCCACTCACGAAGTGGTATCATTATAGAATGTGAAACCATCCTGTAATGGAACAGTCCGCTAGATCTTTCTCCAGCTTCACTAGCGCGTAAGCGCAAGAATGTTACTAATTTTGCACGCGCGACTCGCGTGTGTGCGGAAGAATCTGACACGAGCAAAGAAAAGACTCGTTCCTGAGAAATTGACACAAGTGTACAAACCGTAAGCATTCAACTGAACTGAATTGGGAAAACTTCTGTGATCGACGCTCGAAAGGCTGGAATATTTGGGTGCGTTACGCTCAATGTACATAAGTAGTCAGTTGGTTTGCCTATTCGGAGGTCCCTTCAAGCTCCAAGCCTTAAGGAGCTCAAGGTTTCGCTAATTGTGTTTTGTCTCCAATTGGCTCCTTTTCCTTCATATCAAGTAGCTGCACATCTACCTTCAAGAACATCTAAACAAGGACGAATTCTCCAAGCAACACCACTCGCTTCGAATACTCTATACGTTAGGATTTCTTATATCATTACTATAGTAGGTCCGTCAGAAAACGTACAACGACTAGGAGCCCTCCAGTGATGTACAGTGGGAGACTGAGGATCAAGTTTCCTTTCCGAAACCTCATAGCAATCCCTGCTCATGTACTGTAATCGTAATCGCTTTTAGGTGATGCAGCAAATCAACGTCGTTTGGGTAAGATAATACGTTGTAAAGTGATATTTGTATGCTGTCAACGTGTGCTTGTTGTTTCTCTTTGTTCTATGGGAACAGATTGCTCGATTGTGCCTCCACACTTCACGCACTGCACAGCGCTTGCTTCATTGCCATGAAACTATGAAAATTTTGATGTTTTTCTGATTTTATGCATTTTAAGAGGCTGTCGACAGCGATCTGTTCGACACCGGGCCGTTCCGACCGTCCTATGCGTTGGGTACCTACGCCACCCATGGCGGAGCGCCGTACGAGATCTCCAACACGCCTATCGAAGTGAACGAGAGCCGTAAACAGCAGATCCAGAACAGGTGGGTTCCGTAAATTCAGGCTGTTTGTCAAGAATATATTCCCGTTGCGATGTCACGCCTCTTAGGGTGAAACTCAAGTTACAATATTTGATCCATCTAATACATCTGGTCCTCTCACTTTTGTTACCCTCGTCTCAATCTCCATCCTCTAGTGTGCCGCTTTCTCCTGCTTCGGGTGTTGAGTCAAGAGATCCACTTTGCGGTTGCGCGGAATGTGGTCAGGAGAACCACGCTGCTGCCACAGTGGGGAAAGCGACGTCGCGCGCATGGTTTGATAGAGCAAATAGAAAGGAACCGTATCCAATCAAAATGTCGCCCGATTACGTTTGATTGTTGGGTAGAAGGGCGCTAGAAAAAAGTTACTGAGTACTTTTTCCCATTTTTCTCATTACCTGTTTTTCCATGAACTTGCCCTCTAACATTCTTAACTTTAAGCGCAAGAAGGTATTTTACCCCACTTCATGCCCCTTTGTTGCGGTGAAGCGCTATATGGAGCTTTCACCAGTTCATGTCCTCTGAATAACTCTTCCAACGTGTTCAATTCAATTAATTATGAAAAATCGAAGAGCGGAGCGCTCATTTGTGGTACTCGAGTTTTTGATAGATTCTGGGGAATTCTGTAAATAGTGCCAAATTAACCTGATACCCGTTGCATAGCGACCCTTCCGTCCTTCCGTGAACTGCAGCTGCGTTTGTCAGCAGCCTAGCGTGAGTGAAAATCTACGCGTGTTTTTCTTTCTGCTCATATGCTCTGCTTATGCTTTCATTTCTTCTTATCTCCTCAAATCCTAGAAATAATTTGCATTTTTCTAATTTCTTTTACGGTTTGCTCTATCAAGAATTAGCGGTGAGCCCCATGAAATTTAACGTACGACCAGAGTCAACCCTGCGTTGCGCAGTTCTCAACGGCCACGTTGCGCAGTTTCGCCCGATTAGACACGTTCTCTCGCGCGAACATTCACACTCGCATGCTCGAGCCGTCTGTGTCTCCGCCCATACAGCGTGCGTTGAGGATCTCTCAACGTGCCGTTGCGAACTGCGCAACGCAGGGTTGACTCTGCGTACGACCCGGTAATTACGGCAAAGTTTCATAAATTAGATTTAAAGGCAAAGTACGAAATCGTACTGATGTATAATTGCGCTGGCAAGGATAGAGAAGGAGAGATGGAGATGAGAAGTGTAACGCCAGCAATGGAAAGACGAGGAGAAACCGTCGACAAGGCCGAGAATAAAATCTTTCCAGTGACAGCAAAGCGCAAGCACTGATTTGAGGGGGCCTAATGTATTGGGAGAGTGAGGGGGCTGCTGCATCCTGGAGCCTTAGCGCCTCAGCTTTGCCAAATCATCCCGAAACTTGTGCAAGTGCTTTCCGCTTGCGCACCGCTGCTTTTTCCTCAGGGGGAAACCTTAGTTCAACCAGGAAGCTCGGACCTTGCCTTTAACAAAAGCCTCCACTGATTTCTTACGTTTTTTCCTAAACTCCCGGATTCGGCGCAGCTTAATTGTCAATGTATACGTGGTTCGAAATTGGCATATTTTCCTTCTCAGGAATCAAAATCGACGGTGGTCATGCCTGTAGGTTGTTTTGAGTCGTTCTAATTGTTGTTGGTGTAAGCTGTTGTGAAATCGATTTTGGTTACGTCTATTCTTCTCTGATTAGCAAAGCTTTCCTTCGTTGTATTGATTCTTTGTAATTGAGCCTTACTGAGTTTTTCTGTGAAATTTGCTGCTTCTTGTGTGGGCCTTCAGACTTTGAATAATTTCACCTCGTCGTCCCTCTGAACTTATGGCAGGTCACTAGCGTGGTTATCCTAAGCGATTCTGACTGGTACACTAGTAATAACAATTTCTGCAATTATGTGGGTCATTCCCCATTCGTTTTAGAGTCACTGACTTCCAGCCTTGTAGATTCCCCAGCCATTGATTGCAATGATTATCGAAAGCTGGTTAAAGATTCAGGCTGGAAAACCTCCTTCGATCCTTCAAACGGAGCTTTAGCTTCAATCACGTAAACCTCTAGACGTCACAGACGGATCTGAGCGGTTTATGACGTTTGGCGTACCGTACGGTTGATTTGCTTCTGCGAGCAATCTATGCTATTTTATTAAAATGGTCGGGGCGGCAGGAATGAACCACTCGAGACCGATGTTAGACTGTGCGAATCGAGGGATCCGCTGGCGTCCGCAGTCACGTAGGTGACGCGACGCGGCTGTTAACGATCGCGAATCGCTTGGTTTGCAAAGTCTGACATCGGCCTGAGAAGGCTGCTCAATATTATTGTCTGACCCGAAAGTATCGACCATTGATCTGCGCTACACCCTCTCCTGGCTACGAGTTTGAGGGCATGCGTGCATCAACCATTTCAGAGCGGAAGTTGCGGTTATGTCTCAGTTATTGAGTCTTGATAAGAATTGCAGACAATAGCTGAACTCTTCCTGCTATGGGCAGAAATGTTTCTAGTCTCTCACATAACGCTCATCATCTAAACCCTCACAAGCTCTCTCCATCCAGTTTTTCATGCTATCTATTGAAAGAGGTGTGTTTTCATAGCAGGAAAACTCTTTAAGGGCGATTCGAGGTGTATTTTAACAGGACTAATTATGGCACATGTAGAGTAGGATACGGCGAATTGCTAATAGATTGACGCTACCGAGAAAACAATGAGGGATGAGAACGCCATTGACATGATCAAGTTTTGAGCACTGCTTCAAAAAAGTTATGAAACGATTTTCTTACATGTTATGCAGTCCTACATCTACAACGTCCTTCTTGAAGACTTAACTACGACTAGAAATTTAAAGATAGCATTAGAGCTTGTACTTGCGAACGGAAATATAGATCCAGCACTGCTAACAAAGTATTACTAAGGAGATTATGAACCGATTCATGAGGAATTGCAAATAAAATGGAGAAAAATTTCAAAACCAACATTTTGAACATGAAGTCTTCCACTTTACGAAGTTTTTTTTTTCTGGAAACCGCTGCTTCCTCATTGGGAACAGTGAATTTTGACCTATCATAATGCGCGCTTAGAATACACATAGGTCTAGATAGTTGATATCAGGAGGTACATGGCAAGCTCCAAATCATGTGCTACACCAATCTACCTTCGGATAATTTGCCACTAACCTTCGGATATTGGCCACCACCTTCATCTATACTATGGACCATATCTTATTGTAGTGTCTTCACTATCCAAATGAAAGCCGAAGGCGTGGTGAATTTTAGAAAGTTGCTGAACGTGAGCAGCTTATTCTTTGACCTCTGGATCGTCTATCGACCCTTTTTCATGATACACCATGCAGCTGCACGAATTTGGGGTATTCGTCAAGAGGTCCGCCGCACGGCAAGAAGGCACAGTCAGCGGACGAATCACAGTGCGTGATATGCGATGTAGGATGTGCAATGGCACATTCTATTTATTTTGACGCGAAAGCACTGCAGTACACGTTCGCTGACTAGGATATCCCAAATTTTCCACCCAACACGATCTCTGTTCTTGAAAACTTAAAGGCATGCTGCGGGATTAGGCACGCTCACCTTTTCCGTACACGAGCGTAGTAGAAAGGCGGAAAAGTGTTGATGTCGCGCCATTCTTTGGCTTTGAAGTGCGCGACAAAGGCGCTAGAAGCTCGCTCGACCCGCAATCCACTCCTTCGTCCGCAAGCCCCGCCTGCTGTCGGTTGCCACGTGACGCTGCTTGAAAAGCGCGGGCGCAGTTGCGGCAGCGGTTGCATTGCGGTTCCGTGTCATTGGCACTGGAGCAACTGGAGCTAGGCTCATGAAACTCGTCCAACACGTCCCAAGGTGGAATGCGGCTGAAATAGAGGAACTCCTTATTCGGGGCGTAATCGGGGGTTCTCTTGCTTCCTTCTTCTTTTCCAGACCACTGTCCACCTCTAGCTTCATCAATGAACACTCATACCTATTTCATCCCGCTTCTTTCCTTCTACACCCCCTCCCCCATAATATCCTCAATGCGCAAAGTACTCGTCTGCTGTTGTAGCCAGCATGTAATTTCGTTAAAAGCGCCGATAGATGGATGTCTAGGCATGAAACGTCTGGTGACGATGTCGGCGACGTGTTTCTCGGAAACCCTGCTTAATCCTTCAGCGAATCAGCTTGAGGGCTTTCACGGGATTTAGTGAACGTGACTTCCTATGAGTGTACCTTCTTCTGCAGATGAAAAACAGAACTGTAGGAAGCTGAAGTTGCTTCAAAGGAGGATGTAAGAAAGACAATTTCATAGGGACAATTTCATTCTCAAAAAATTCTACGGTATTTGGTTTCATCAGCGTCAGTCAGAATACCACTAAAAGTAAGCTTCCGGCCATAGGAAAGGACTCTGGAGAGATATTGCAGGCATGTTCTACGTACTGATTCATTGAACTGTCAGTACTCCGTACACCAACTTTGAGCACTTCAGCTGTTTATCTTATGAGAAAACTCTCTTCCCGGTGGGAAATACTGTATGCTAACCGCGACTTCTGATCCAGCCTCGACTATCTAGTCGCGATAAGGTCGTTAGTGGCACCGCTTGGATTACTGCCGCAAACAAAAAAGAGATCTATTCTCCGAAAAAGCAGACCTTCCTAAGCTGCTTAGCGCTCGCGCGAAGTTCCATAGGCTATTTATCGGTACGACTAATTTGTGGCTGCATGGTATCGTTGGTGGATTTTTTGCCTTCTGATGGGGTTTCAGCTGAATTCAAAAGGTTTCCCATGTGATCATCCTGAGCAGATTATAAGATTTCCCGTGGTAAGCCTCCACATGCCGTGCTAACGTTGAGCCGTATTCCTCAGTAGACAAGCGCATGTCGAGGTGCCTCATTATCTACGGCTTGTAAGTTGACATTATTTTCAAATTCAACTTCCATCACCATTATTCTTTGACTACATTCTGTTCTTCTTTCTCTCGACTTCTACTGAACTATCCCTAGTGCACAGTATGCCTGCTTTGTTATGTATGCATGCTTTCATGGCACAGATTCGGACGAAGGCTTGGCTTTGTCACTGCGAAATAGATTTCTATATTTCAGAGCCTCGTTCTCGAGACTCAAATATGATACATTGCTTGTCGCCGAAATTGGCTGCTGGTCTACAGGAAGAGCTCGATTCTCGCTCCAAAAGTCCACAGCTCGTCGAAATGCACACGTTCAGGTTCGATTTTTTTGGTGGCCTCATACAAATCGTCTCTATTGTTCAGTCACACAACCACAAATAGAGCAACAAAATATGACCATTGAATGTTATGGATTTTTGCAGAGATGCAGTCGACGTCAACTATCAGCGGATGGCAATCACCGGCGAGGAGCTCTCGGGTGTACGTTCCTTTTTGTTTGGTTAACTGAAAGGTTTTCTGTCTTGATGTCATCGTGGATTACTTGTGGTTCAGTCCTCGGTGGGTGTCTGTACGTCTCAGGTCAACCAGCAAATTCTTGGGTAAGTTAGGCTGCATGGTCTCCTGGCCTATCCTGAGATTCTTACCCTTTATTACAGCTTTTCCATTTTCCACCTTGATCTGTCAGAGGAAGAAAGGTCGAAATGGGAGAGGCTGAGGAGGTTAGGAGATGTGAGGGTGTTCTCAGCTCGTTTCAGTCTTACCTACGAAAAATACCTGCTGTGAGTGGCCCTTCATTTGCTCACCATGCGACATCATCGTCCTCTAATAGGAGGTACTCTCACGCGCATTCTCCCTCCCCCTCTCTCTCCTTAGTGTGTTTCTCCGTCGTACAACGGCCGCTTTCAAGAAAGGCCCTTTGATGTTTTGGGTAGGCTTCTGCCTTTTTCTTCACCTTCGGTGCTCTTCATACCCTCTATCTCATTTTCAAGCGAAATAATCACAAGCTCTTGTCCCGGGGCGCGCCTTCAAAGGAAGCCCGTCCTCAGCTAGCATATCTAGAAGACTGCGTGGAATTACCCAATCATGAGGGGCAACAATACGAAATGGTAGTACTCATGGGGTTTCAAAGTTGTTGTCATTGCTTTTTCAAATAGATATCAAGCCTAAACTCAATATATTGAAAAGTTCGGCATGATTTCATTCTGCCGACACTAGCAGACCATGGAAACGTGGAAAGTTCTTTTGATCTTATTCGCTTTATTAAAGGCGGACTTTACGATTAGAAGGCAGCTCATAGAAATAGGGCAGAGGTGTTCAGCCGGGAGAAGGAATAGCCATGAGTATTTCCGCACTTATGCGACTCTCATCAGTGCTGCCTTTGATGTCAAAGCTCTCTTTCTCTGCTAACTGGTGGTTAGCCAATTAATGGGCGTGCCGCGTCGACAGCGCCGCGGCGAGACCCATGCCAGGTCACCGTGAGCATGTCCTTTCTGAAGAATTGCGTGTCGATCGCTATCGGGGGTCCACCTGTCTTTCCACAAAGTGAGGCTCCCCTTCTTCGACTTTCGACCTTACCGTGGAATCCTCCATTGATGTGGCCAGCCGTGTAGGTGCTAGTCATCCGCTTTAGTATCGTGTCAATGTAGTCATTCGCTCATTCGCGGAAGTTAATTCTTGATTAGCTGCTCGAGGATAATCGCTTCGCCTCAGTTGAGTCACACATTCGAATTCGTTTTCGATTCACGGAATGTCAGCAATAATACGATATCCAATAGTGTACAACTAAATGGGAAGGAGCTCTTGAATAGACCTTTCGCAAAAGTTATGTGATGAAAACGAGAACTGGAATAGCAGGGCACTAGACGCCGGAGAAGGAACATGTTAAGAAAGCCCGAGGAAACGCCTACAGTGGCCAAAGCCTTCATTTGCACCCCTCTCTCTTAATAAAAGTCATTCGGCAACCATGCTTCCCGCGGTATTAAGAGAGACAAGATTATAAGTTAAAGGAATCTTCCGCGGAAAAGCTCCGCCTCCATTACCACAGAAAAACGATACCTTAGGCCCCTAGCCTCATGCATAGCAAAAGAACGGAACATAAGCGTTAGTTTCGATAATACTAATCCTACACACAAGACAAAATGATCACTCTTTCCGTGGAAGATTCCTTTAAGGTATCGTTTTCTGTGGTAATGAGGGCGGAGCTTTTCCGTGGAAGATTCCTTAAGGAACATAGGATGTATACCGTAACCCACGTTTGCGTCAGAGCGCGGTTGCAGGCTTTCCAGTGCACAATGCCAGCACTAGTGTGAGAGCGGTCAACGACGCCGCCCCTGCTGTTCGGGGCAGCGAACCCAAAAATGGAGCGACGTCGCAGCGTTCGCCTCGCCGCTTGCGCGACGAAGCCGAACACCGTCGCAGCGTAATCCCCAGGGTACCGCCTGGTCAGCGTGACACAAAATATCTTCAATGGCGGCGAGGGGTGGGGGGGGGGGGAGACTCACAGCCCAAACTGGCCACACTTCGCGATTGACCCTACTCTGGGCACTACAGTCAAACCATATATCGTGAACAAGAACGAACCGCACTAGCCATCAGAATCTTGGTCATGCATAGTCAAGATTTACATCAATAGTACTGTGAAACTCGAACTTTTCCGGGAGGGCGAAGCATACAACATGTTTTCTGCCAAAGCGCGCAACTCCGTTCTTTGAAATGACTACAGCTAACGTCGTTTTATAGGAGCACAGAAGGCCTGAACTTCGAGGGAAAGCCGATTGAGTGTCCTTTCCAGGTTCCACAAGCTCTGCTATATCGCATTCATATTTCTATCACATTCATATTTACCCCCAATTCCGTCCTTATTCTATGAGGTTCCATCACAACACACCTCGATCGTGCTTTTTACAGGTGCCGCTGGAGGATCTGAAAGACGCGGCGACACATCTGATCGAGGCGCTCCGAATGCGAAATCAGTACATGGAGCGAATCGGAAACCAATTCCCAGTTACAACGAAGCGATTCCTCAGCGGTGAATATCCGGCGAACTTGCCGAAATATCGTCGAAAGAACACCGAGTCAAGTGAGTCTTGAGGATTACGCCGCTTTCGTTCCTCATGTTTTGCAGTTTCATTCGGCGGGCGGCGTTCTCCTTGTTGAACTGTGAAATGCTTTGATTTTGCTGCTTTTTTTTGCTTTCCTTCCGCGGTGTTCAGTTTGTTTTTACATGAAATGCCATCGTCGAGTTTTGATGGCCCAACGATGCGACGATTTTTTCCAGATGTCGAATTATGTAGGTTGAATACATCTCATCTGTATCGATTGCTCTCTCTGTCCTCTACCCACACACACAATAGCACCAAAATTTCCCCCTCTCTCTCTCGTGAGCACATTTCCACTGTTCTTGCAACTTCTCCTCGT